GCAGATGTGCAGGTGAACATCTGCTTGATGTGGAAAGTCTTCTTGGGGCCTGGGATGGGGGTGAGGGGGGAGGTGTAGGGGCAGGTGTAGCACTTCCTGCGGTTGCAGGGAAAAGTGCCGGGTGTGGTGGGGCTGGAGGAGAGTGTGGAGCGGACAAGGGAGTCCCAGAGAGAGTGGTCCCTCCGGAAAGCAGATAAGGGTGGGGAGGGAAAAATGTCTTTGGTGGTGGGGTCGGATTGCAGATGGCGGAAGTGTCGGAGGATGATGCGTTGGGGTGGGGTGGTACGTGAGGACGAGGGGGATTCTGTTTTGGTTGTTATTGCGGGGAGAGGGTGTGAGGGAGACAGGGTGGGGGGTGTTCTCGACCACTGAAGGGGGGGGAGGTTGCGGTCCTTGAAAAACGAGGACATCTGAGATGTATGGGAGTGGAATGCCTCATCCTGGGAGCAGATGCGGCGGAGGCGAAGGAATTAGGAATAGGGGATGGCATTTTTGCAGGAAGGTGGGTGGGAAGAGGTGTATTCTAGGTAGCTGTGGGAGTCGGTGGGCTTGAAATGGATATCGGTTTCTAGGTGGTTGCCAAAGATGGAGACACAGAGGTCCAGGAAGGAGAGAGAGGTATTGGAGATGGTCCAGGTGAACTTAAGGTTGGGGTGGAAGGTGTTGGTGAAGTGGATGAACTGTTCGAGCTCCTCGTGGGAGCACGAGGCAGTGCCGATACAGTCATCAATGTAACGGAGGAAGAGGTGGGGTTTAGGGCCAGTGTAGGTACGGAAGAGGGATTGTTCCACGTAACCTACGAAGAGGCAGGCATAGCTTGGGCCCATGCGGGTACCCATGGCCACCCCCTTTGTCTGTAAACGTCAGCCTTCCTGCTCCTCTGATGCTGCTTGGCTTGCTGTGTTCATCCAGCTCTACACCTTGTTATCTCAGATTCTCCAGCATCTGTAGTTCCTGCTATCTCTGAAACAATTTTGTCAAAGTTTTGATCAGGTCACAGAGGATAGATGAAGGCAGTGCTTCAACTCATCAGCTGCCAAAATAATCTTTGTCTGTCAGCTCCAGATTTGACTGTTTTAGTTATCTCATAGTTGAATTTCCACCTGTCACTAATTTTCATTGATCCTAAAGTGCAAATTTAAAACCTCCCCCCCCCCCCCCCCCCCCCATCCATTCCATCTGCTCTGCATCAGGATCTTGTTAACTTGTTTCCACTGTGGTCTTGATCTCCCCCAGTATCTCCCATTTTAAATTGCACATCCCCTTGTTTTGACTCCTTGCATAGCTTAGCCTCTCACTAGTTCTGTAACCTTCTCCAACCGCATTTCTCCTTTCTTCCAACCTCACCCTGGAAGCCTTTGTACCAATTGCCCAGATATTGCACATCATCTATCTTTGAATGTCATTGGACATGCTTTCAGCTTCTAAGCTCTATGAAGTAAAATTCTGTTGCCAAATCACTCCGTCTCCATACTCTGTGTAATACCTCTGATTAAAGCACACATTTTGGACCAAGTGTTTTATCACATCCCTTGATATCTTTGATCCATTTTTTCTTGATCTGAGTATGGCTTTGTATGTTTTTCTATGATAAAAGCCCTGTATGAAATGCATATACAGGTACAGTAAAATTCATGTGCTTTGGTGTGCACACACTACTGCTAGTAAATCAAAATGCAGATAACCTATTGCAGTTTGTGATGCTAGTAGGAATAAAAAAAATACCACAACACATACTGCAACTTGGAGGGTTAAAACCTCTTTTACCTTTGACATTATTCCTCTGTAAATACAAGGGAAAATACTTCAACATTCATTTGGCTCCTTTACATTTACTTCAGACGACAACACCATTATTGTATGTGGTCGCAGTGAGCACTGCAAGTGGATATCGGAGATTTGGGTTGGTGGGGTGCTGAATGATGCAAATTCTAGTGTACATATTTGGTTAATTAAACAGGTTGCATTTATATTTTCACTGATTACAATGCATTATATTTTGATATGAAAACATAAATTGCGTGAAAAGCAACAGCTTTACATTTTCTTTCAGGTACCGGACAAATCTGACAGCTTTGAAATCCTTGGATTCAAGTACAAATGTAAGGTTGTTATATTTAAAGTGTCATTGTGAATTGTAATATTGAAAGCTGAAAACTGTGCTTGTAATGTGATGCTGTGGTTTGTTTGATTGTTTTTGAAATGTAAAATGACTTGACTGTTCACTTAGTTCAAGTGCACATCATATAAATGGCATTTGCTGGAGCTTAAAATAGCTTTTAAATCATGCTGAAGGAAGTCTGCGAGCAGTTGTCTGAATGTGAACCAGCTATCCTTAGTTAGTAACTGATGTTTTACATAGTACCTTTTTACAAGTTTGAGTTTGAATCCAAATGATTCTGGAACATTTTACAAACTGCTAGATCATTAATCACGTAGCTGTAGGCAATGTCATAACATACATGTATGAAAAAATAAAAAGTGCACATGTTCCAGGTATTGATTTCATGCTTTGACATAGTAAGAGCATAAGACCTCTTCCTTGTTTATAGTTGTATAAATTTATTTCTGTGGCTTTCCACATTCTTTTCAGCACAAGTTTCTCAATAATATTAATGAATAAATTATAGCATAATACTAATCGAGAAACCCATCCATTATATTATCATGCCATTGGTACAGTCAAGAGTACTGTTGTATGAGTATCAGCAGCCATGTGGACAACAATTGACATTTATGTAGCGCCTTTAATATAGTAAAATATCCCAAGGTTCTGCTGGTCACTGAGTTTCGAACAAAATTTGACACCAAACATGTAAGAACTAACGAAAAATTTGATCAGTGGTGAAGTGGTAGCTTTCTCGGAAACAAAGACACAGAGTGAAGAAATTTATTGAGGAAAATCTAATGCTAAAGGCCGAGACAGTTAATGATATGGCTACCAATATTGGGGCTGAATTTCATGTCCCGTGGATTGCTGTCTGTCCTCTCGAAGGGAAGTTGTCTGGCAGAAGATACAGTGGAAAGAAACCTGCTTCACTGACATCTGAATGGTTGGCTGCTCTAATAGTTTCAACAATGCCAGAGTTCAGTAATGGATGCTGCCATGATTACAAGCGAAAGAAAAGAGGAGCAAAACACAGCTTGACGTCTTTTAGAGGGCGGTGGGTGCTAATGACAATGCAACTTGAATGATGTGTTCCCCAACCAATTTTGTCTTTTTTTCCAACTTTGCCTCAAAAAATAGTTTGTTCATTCAAACTGTATAATGGCATGGACAGTGAATTGTACTGTTCAGTTGACTTGGTAACAAGCTCAATTGACCAGTATTCATTTGAATGTGGTAGTCAAGTTACTAATTACGATGTATGCCAATTTATCGTATTATGGGGAACAACTTGGAGGTGGGTGCTAGGTTTGCTGTCAGCACTTTTCTCCCCCCAAATTTTTAGAGTTTAGATGAATTGAGATTAGTTCAGTTTGGTTGACCTCATCTCATTAAAATTCAATCGCATCTTTCATTGAGACAAAACTCGTCCTCCATTTCTTCTTGCCATCAGAAAAAGTCCCTGACTAGCAGGACTTGAGACAGCTTGAGGTTGAGGTTGAGATCAAGTCCTCAGTATGCTTCTGCAGAGTGAAAGCATTAAGCTTGAAGATTCACTTAGGAGAGTGCAGAAATCGTATTGTCACCTACAAATGAGGTCGGTGTTGTTTTCCTCTTGGATTTCAATTGATTTATAGAATCATAATATCCCTACGTGTGGAAACAGGCTGTTCAGCCCAACAAGTCCACACCGACCTGCTGAACAGCATCCCATCCAGACCCATCCCTGTACCCTTTCCCTGTAACCCTGCATTTCCCATGGCTAACACGCCTAACCTAAACATCCCTGAACACTATAGGCAATTTAGCACGGCAAATTCACCTGGTCTGCACATCTTTGGACTGTGGGAGGAAACTGGAGCACCTGGCCGAAATCCACGCAGACATGGGGAGAATGTGCAAACTCCACAAGAACAGTTACCCAAGGGTGGAATTGAACCTGGGTCCCTGGTGCTGTGAGGCAGCAGTGTTAGTGACTGAGCCATCATGATGAGTTTGCAAATTTTTCTGTCTGTCCTGTAGGTGATGTCCACACCACTGGGAACCTTGTTCTTGATAAAATGAATAATGAAGGTGATGGAGAAAAGAGGAGGGGGGTGCCAATGATGCATCCCTGCTTGACTCCTGTCTTGACCTTAAAGATGTCAGTTATGTCAGGTTATTATCGGTGAGGATATTTCCTCCATGACAAGATATTGGTAATGGGGGAATGTTAATGAATTTCTCTGGACAACCAGCCTTCGACAGGGTCTTTCACTTCCAGATTGGTCTAACCAAGACATTAGACTCAGTCATTAAGGGCCATATAGAGTGGTTGATGTTATTCTTGGCATTTCTCTTGAAGTTGCTGAGCAGTGAAATCATATTCCTAGTTCCATGGTTTGGTTAGAAGTTATACTAGCTCTCAGGAAGAATGTCCTCAGAGACTGAGAGAAGGTGCCTACTAAGAATTCAGATAATGATCTTCCTAGTGATGGAGAGTTGATGATTCTCTCGGTTCTTCCAACTTTGTCTCCTTTCTTGAAGACAGTGGCAATGGAAGCATGCCTGAGATTGGCAGTGAGTTTTCTTTTGTCCCAGATTTTCAGAAACAGTTGAAGATGATGGGTAAGCGCTGCTCCTCCAAAGTTAAATCTCCACTGGAATCCTGTCCATTCGTCGTATATCTAATGATGGATTCATTTCTGTCACACTAGATAGGAATCCAAGAATTAGGGGCTTTCCTCAAACGTGTCCTCACTTACAACTGTATAATGTTTTTGAGATTCTTTTGAAGTGTTCTCTCCATTGGAGAGTGGTGTTTTCTCTATCTCCATAAGGGTCCCATCCTTACTGTGCACTAGTTTGAGGCCAAGAGTGTTGGGTTTGTGGCACTGAAGAGGCCCTTGGTGTCATACTTCTTGGCACAGACTTGCAGATCCTTAGTTTTCTTGATACACCATTGGCACTTGATTTCCCTTGTCGTTATTTGTAACTATATCTTTGCCTCACTGCAGATGTCATTTTACCAGTCATGGAGAGCTTTCCTGTTTGTGTTAACGGGGTCTTTTGGATGATGTGGATATTTTCGTCGAACCAGTCTTGGTGTTTCATGGTCTTGCAGCCGATGGTTTCTTCACAGCATGAGATGATGGCTGTCTTCACAACTTTCCAGATTTCCTCCACTCCATTAAAATGATCTCTTCGGAGATTTTGGTGGAGTCATTGTTGGAGGTTTGGTAGTCTGCTTAAATCTTGAAGGCGCTCAATCTTGAGCTTTTCAAAATATATTTCTTCATCTTCAGCTGCTTCTGGTGGACAGATACAAGATGACTAAAGGGCTTTTGTGTTGCATTGGTAGTGTCCCTACCTCTGGACAGAGATCTGGTTCAAGTTTCACCTGAACAGGGTGTGTAATAACATAGCTGAACAAGTTGACTGAAAGTATCTAAGATAACTGAAGTCTGAACTACGTCTAACTGCCTTATCTCTTAGAATGAACGTGTTTGTCAATATTTCAGTGTAAGGATGATGTTGTAGAGTCATGTGGTGTGAAAACAGACCCTTCTGTCCAACCAGTCCACACTGAACATAATCCCAAAATAAACTAGTCCCACCTGCCTGCTCCTGGCCCATATCTCCTATTCATGTAGTTATCCAAGTATCTTTTAAACATTGTAATTGTGCCCACGTGCACTGCTTTTTCAGGATGTTCATTCCACACGTGAACCACCTTCTGTGTTTAAAAAAAAAAAAATTGCCCTTGTGTCTTTTTTAAATCTCTCTCCTCTCACCTTAAAAATATGCCCCCTAGTCTTGAAACTCCCCATCTGAGGGACAAAAACATTACCATTAACCCCATCTATTCCCCTCAATTTTATAAGCCTCTATGAGGTCACTTTTCAACTTCCTATGCCCCAGTGAGAAAAGTCCCAGCCTATCCAGCCTTTCTTTATAACTCAAATCTTCCATACCCAGCAACATCCTGGTAAATCTCTTCTGAATCCTCTTCAGTTTAATAATAATCTTCCTATACCTGGGCGACCAGAACTGGACACAGTACTCCAAAAGAGGCCTCACCAATGACTTGTACAACCTCAACATGACTTCCCAGCTCCTATACTCAAAGGACTGAGCAATGAAGGCAAGCGTGCTAAATTGCTAAGAACCTGGAGTTATCTTATTCACTTTGATTCCTTTCACGGACAGTCTGTTTCTTAGAACTCAATTTTAAAATACATACAGCTATTAAGATGTATCAAGGAAAAAATAATTAAGTTGCTTTTGTTCAGTATTGATGATTTATTTTCAGTTACAATGTAACTAGTGCTTTAATTATATGTTGCTAACTGCTACTCAATTCTAGTTTATCAATGCTTTTGAGATGGCTGTGTGGTTATGGCAACATAAACTGGCTTCATTCAAAGACCATGTATTAACATGGAAAATAGCCTCATTCCCTTGTTAGACTAGCATAATACTTGCATTTGTAAAACATTGTTAAAATACGAGATTAACTAATTCTAACATCACACTCAGCGGGTATTGCTGCTGTTTTGATATTTTTAGGTTCAAACTGAAGAATAACATATACCTCCCTCTCCCAAAAGAAAATTTACAAATCCTCCTGCACATGAGAACCCATCTTGGAGATTTACGGAAGTGTATTAAAAATAATAAGTTTCATGTCCCTGGCATCTCCCAATGATGGAAATTTCAAAATAAATGCACAATTTTGTTTTTCTGTATTGTTTTGCTTTTGTTTTGTTTGCCCAATTAATGTTTTCAACTTTGGGATTTTTAATAGGCATAGTCAACGCCAAGACCTCAAAACTGGCATCTGATCTCATTTGGTTGCCCACTTGTCTATCTAGACTTTGCAATTTTTCCATTTCAGTTTTGGAAGTGGCTGTATCTTTTTGTGAATCTGTACTTTGACAAACTGTAATGAGGCTACTGTATTATTTTCCAAATAAGATGGCTGATGCAAATCAACAGTCTCTCTATTCTGCTTGATTTCCATTCCAATGTATTTAGAAGCCCTAGAACCTGACTTAGATTTTGAATTCTGAAATTGATTTAAGAAGTAGTTTTCCAATTCACTGCTTCCATGCTGCATAAAAAAATCCATGTGCAAAATAGAGATGCCTGAAAGCTGCTCCCACATTGGTTCAGTAAAATATTGTAAAATCAGTTTCAAACTTTAATAAGATGGAATTTTAATAAGATGGATCTTACTGAGAAATATCAAATTCTTGAGGCATTATTTCAGCCATTTATGCATTTATTTAACTTCCAGAGTATCCCCACTGTATTTGGCAACTTTTGGAGGGCAAAGAAACACTTCCCTTTTGATTAGAGCTGATCTCCTTAAGGTTGGCATCTTTAATCAAATGATCTACTTTACCAAGCTAGTAATGCCAAAAAAATGTTCGAAATTGCTTTTCCCGCCATTGGTGAAACTACCCTTTTAGTCCGATCAGTAACATTCCCTCTACATTGCACATGTGCACAGCAGCTCCAACATTACACAAAAAGCACTCTGATGCAATTGCAGCATTGACTTCCAATTTCAGAAGTCACTGCTGTACACTGACCTTGGAGATCTGCAAAGAATAAAAAAAGGGGGAATGCTGCCCATCAAGGAACATTGTTTCTGTGCATATTCACTCATTAGATAGTACTGGCAGTTCCGTATCCACCTCAAATTCTCTGCAGCTTTGTATTTTTTCCTGTTTAATATCTTTTTATTATTCTGTCTTTTGATTTGTTTGTAGCCACTAACTCTTGCCCGTCACAATGGCTTCTGATCTGGGCCATCAGTGTTTGATTTCCCTTTCCTATTAAAAGCATTCCTTTCAGCAGTTTGTGATCTCTTGCTTGGGGTAAGTTCACTTCCAGTGTCACTGTCCAAGAATACATTGTGTTGTCTTACCTTCCATTTTTTAAGTTCATGATCACATTCCTAACCACACTAACCTCTTGGCCCTCAACTTGTACATTCAACCAATTATTATAATTTCCAGTTGCCTCCCTTGGTCTATAAATAGTAGTTCCACTGCTTCTTTTCTCAGCACCTTCTTGGTAAATATTTTATTTTAATTACCAGTTTCGATAATTGTCTTTGTGGCTGAGCCACATTTGGAACTTCAGAACTGGTCACTCCTTCATGGGCCATACTTTCTAGTGCAGCAGTTGGTATTCAGTTGTGTACTCTTCTATGGAGCTATTGTCAAAATCTGACTGCGTCTCAAAAGCAGTTAATATTTTCCTTTTGATAAACTTTTTCCATAAATGTAAGGAACAGGAGTAGGAGAAGGCCACTTTGCCCCTCAAGCCTGCCTTGCCATTCAACAAGATCATGGCTAATCTGCCCCAGGCCTCAAGTTCTGTTTTGTGCCAGGTCAGGATAGCCCTCAACTGTGATATTTTAATAATCTATAGCAACCTCTTCTTTAAATACTCTGGGGTAGGAGATTCCAGTTTCTAGCCTCTGAAAGATGAAATTCCTCCAATTCGCTATTTTAAATGAGTGTCCTCATATTTTGTAATCTCTTAATTTGAGATACCCCACTAGTGGAAACATCTTTTCAACATCTACTCTATTAAATCCTACAGAATCTGGTATGTTTCAATAAGATCATTCCTCATTGACATTTATTCTGAAAGCAATACAGTTTAAAAGGAGGAAAATGTTTTTGCAACTAATGAGGCATTTGTAAGACTGCACCTGGAGTATTGCATACTTGAGGCCTGTAGCTGCATTGGAGACAGTTCAGAGGAGATTCATTGGATAGATTCGAGAGAGGGGTTTGTCTTATGAAGAGAGATTAAGCAGTGTAGGCCAGTACAGTCTGGAGTTTAGAAGAATGAAAGGAGATTTAATTGAGACATGCAAGATGCAAAGGGATTTCCTCTTGTGGGGCAATTGAGAAGGAGAGGTCATAGCTTTACGGGAAGGGCAAGCAGATTTAAAATAGAGATGGGGAGGAATTACTTCTCTCAAAGGGTTGAGAATCTGTGTAACTCACTACCCCAGAGCATGGCAGACGCTGGGACATTGAATAAATTTAAGGAGGAGATTGATGGATCTTTAAATCAGTAAAAGGTTAAAGGGATATGGACAATGTTTCCTCTCAGGCTACAGGAGAATTGCAGAGGACTTGAGGACAACTAATGTACCGTTAATGACAGTTAAGAAGTATTTAGATGTGCAATTACAAGGCCAAGGCATACAAAGCTGTAGCCAAGTGCTGAAAACTGGGATTAGAATTGGTTGGGTGGTTGTTTGTGACCAGTACAGACACAATAGGCGGAAGGAGGTTTTTCTGTGCTGTAGATCTCTGCTGTAGATCTATGATTCAAATTGTTGCATATTACAATTTTTCTGCTTTAAAGTACAAATAGCAATAACACTAGGCACCTGGTGCGAGAGATGGAAAAAATTGTTCACTGATATACACTGCTTTACTGACTAAATAAGTCGCAATGGTTGCTATTCTACTGTCAGTAATTACATGCTACTGAAATGCTTCTCTCAAAGAAAGGGAATGGAAGCTTTCTGGCTGGAAACTATCCCATTGACTCCTATTCAAAATCATGTTCGCAATTTCACCATTTACAACGTCCTCCAAAGTGCATCCCTCTGAATGGTGTGACTTTACTGTAATTGAATGTTTCTAAGCTGCTTGTCTTTCAAGCTTTAGTATCTTCAGCTTTGTGTCACCAAAATATTGGAAATACTGAGTAGTCAGACAGCATGAGTTTTCTGTTTATATTTCAAATTTCCAACCTGTATAGTTTCTTTGCTTTTGTATTAATATTTACATAGTGGGTTTAACAAAATCTTTTGCCCAACAGTATTTTTTAATGATCACCAGATTAGTTGTTTTCCATTTAAAACCATTATCTGACTCGCCTGTTAGGAATATTTCATGTATTTAATTTAAGAAAATGTCTAGATATTTGTTACTAGTGCAATGCAACATTTGCTACCGAAGAGAATGGCCTGTAACTTGCATGGACGGATCATGTTCATTCAAATACTAGCTTTCTTATTTTAATTATAAGATGCAGCATTTTCTATACTTTTGATTTACCTGCACAATTTTACAGAAAGAAATTCCAAAGTTTTATGGGATTGGTTCTGGGTAAAGAATTTGATAAATTGCAGCATTCTAAATGTAGCTATTCTTCATGTTTTTCAGGCACAAATAGGTTTGAAGGTGAACAGGAAAACATTTCAACAATACAATGCATTTATGAAAGCTGCAGTCAGCTGCTTGTGGACAACAAGAAACTTTGAACAAGATATTCATCCGATGGGTATTGGAATTGAATATAATCTGCTAGCACAGACCAAGGTTCCAGACCCTGTGAGCAGTTTTACTCTTGTTAATCATCCAGCACTGATGGGACATGCCATAAATTTTACCCAGAAGGTAAGACCCAAGTGCAAAGATTACGATACTGGTACATTAATGAACTGCTGTGTGCCAGTTAATTTTTTTCTGCTTCTGCCGCTGAAACCCTGTTCTTCTCTGGGAATATCATTGTTGAAAGACAAAATTACACAGTTATCTTAGCCATGCATTCAGATCTACAATGATCTGAAATTGGGCCTGTGCCTATGAACTTCAATTGCCGACATGCTACTTTTTATCATATTTCATATTTTGATGCACTTTCCTACCTATAGAGCAAAAGCCAATTCCTTTAATATTAATACAAATTGGTGGTTACTCAACAGCAAGAGAGAAATCCATGATAGAGCAGCTGATAAAGGAGGCATATAACTACACCCTGTGCAGATTTGACCAACCATGGTAATATCAAAAAATTATATATGAATTGTTGTTTGATCATACAAAGCTTGAGTACTTTTCACCTTGTGCTGTTCAGGACAATTCACAAGAGATACCAAAGTACAGGCAATTCATAAGTGATACCAAATTAAAGGGTGGAAGCAAAAATGTTGTTTTCGAGGAGAGTGTTGATTGGTTGGCAAGTGGACACTGATTAGTAGAGATGTTCCATTGAGAATATAGTTCAGTACCAATCAAATTTTAATCCTGGCACTTTAGCACTGGTCTGTTTGTTCATTTCTCAGGGCAATTTTAATAGGTCAAGTTGATTTTAATGACATGCATTTGTTTGTAAATTTTGTCTGGTTGCCATCTGAAATGGGTTTGCCGTACATTGTAATTTGATGGTTCAACAGGAGCAGAGTTTAAACTGTGATTTAAACATATCTCTGATTATAGCTTACACAGAAATTGTGCATATAAATCATAATTTCAGTCATCTTTTAAACACATGGTTGAATCTTAATCTCTTGAATGCTTGTTGTGCGTGATTTTCCATAGATCAATGGTGAATCCATATGTTGGCTAACATGCCCTCTGCAAAGTCATTATGATTTTTTTACACTTGGATATTAAGACAGTGAATCAAACTTCCAAATCAGATACAGTCTTACCATGATAATCCCAATTTTTTTTTTTTGCAGGGATGGCCCAATGGAAAGAAGCGATTACATGCAATACAAGTATGCTAAACAAATCTATTTTCAAGAATATAGATGAGGGTATATAATTTGACTGGGGCCTCGTGTGTGCAAATGTTGCAATCTGTTATATTTTGAAATAATTTGGTAGTTTATTCAACATTTCTATTTTGGATTTTAAAACTCCTCAATTTTGCTGCATTTCTTACTTGAAATCTTCCCTCTCCCTATTTTCATCTCTCCTATCCCACTGTTTTGCCAGTTCCCACCACTTCCTTTCTACCACACTCTTATTTCAGCCATCACCACTACCTTTTATCACAACTTTTTCTGACTGCTGTCACTTGTCACAACCTACTCCTATCTTTCTCACTGTCATTCTCTTGATTTCCATTCCTCTGTAAAAGTTTTGTATTTTCACTCTCCCTCTGTCCACCTTAGCTCAATTGTAGCTCTCTAGCCTTTGAATCGGAGGTTTGTGAGTTCAAACAATTCACTGTCTTTAAGATCAGATGTTAAATAATCAAACTACCTGTCCTTTTAGGTGCATGTAACACCTAATGTGGAAATGATAAGTACACTATATCTGGCAATGACTTGTCCAACAACAAAGTCTAACCAGTTGCCTTGACATTCATTGGCATTACTATAAATGAATTTGCCCACCATCTGATTACCATTCTATATTTTATGGCAAGAAACTCCTCTGACTCCCTGTAGCTTTTCTATCAACTTCAAGGCACAAGGCAGGGTTATGATGGAATGCCTTTCACCTACTTGATGAGTGTAGCTCCAATACTCTCACTGAATGCTGTGCTGGATAAAGTAACTCGCTTGATTGGCACCCCATCTGTCTTAAACACTTACTCTTCACCACCAGCTCTGTGAGTACTATTTACAAGATACATTGCAACAACGTGCCAAGACTTCTTGCCCAGCATCAAGTTATAAAATTCTTATAATACCAAATTATTTCAAAATTTAGCCGATCATAACATTTGTACCCACAAGGTCCCAGGAAGCAATATCAACTCCAAGTTTGTATGCAGTTCACACATCTTTGTGTTCTTTGCCATATGGATTGCAATGATTCAAGTGGGTTGTTCTCCACTGCCTATTTTCCATGCACAAGTTTTTTTTTTAAAAATGTAAACATTCCAAGGAAAGAGCATGAACGTTCTCTTCATGTCTTAGCGGATGCACATTTTTCTATTAATGCTATTAAAAGCTATTGTCTTACTCTGGGGCTTTTCTTTGCACACATTATAACAATAGGCACACTTCAAAAGTACCTTTGTTGCTTGTCATTCGGTCAATCTGAGTGAGGCAGTATAAATGTAAACTTGATTTATTTTCTTTCACATGCTTTGTTTTTCTCTCTCTCTCCTTGTCATTCTTCCAAATCCTCCATCTCTAATTTTTGCTCCTACTGTCAATCCTGCATGCTATTTATTTTTCTCTCTCATCTCAGTTCCTTTCCTTAGTCTGTTTTGTCTGCCTTTGTTTATTTTTAATACTGAAGTGTTGCATATTGTTGTAACAAAATACTGTAGATGTTGCTAAGCATTTCAGCATTTTGTGTTTGTTTAATATTGTAATCTTTTCTATCTCTAGGACCTATCTCAATATGGCTGGAACTTACTCATTTGATCTTAGAAATCTATAAACGACGTGTACTTAGTTATGTTTTACAATTAACCATTTTGACTTTTAATATGTGTGTATGAGTGTATCTATAATAAGTATCTTATAAATGGCAGTCATAAAATAATGTTACTATTATATGTTTGATTTCTCCTGTAATGGTTATATTCTGTGAATTTGTTTTTGGCTAGGGAAAGACGTGGAACTGGTATGTTGAGTACTTATACAACCAAGGACTTGATGGACTTAAACATTTCCTTGAATCTTGCATCCACACAGTGTCCAGTTCAGAACATTAAATAACAAGCTACTGCACTACTGAACTGTACTATTGAATAATTTGAGAGATTCCACAGCATCCATCTGCTTTTGCTAAATGCACAAGATACCCAGCTGCTTCCTGAATAATTGCCTGGACAATAAATGGAGGATTGATATTAAACAAAGACGAACTGGTACACATGTTGATCCAAACACATCATGTCTGATCTTGCACTGTTCAGGAACCCGCAGAACACACAATGTGTAAGAAGTAAAATGCAATGTTGCATTAAACTATATTATTAATGATCCAGGATAGCTAAGAAGGATGGCACAAAACACCAGATTATGTGGAATTTTTCACGCTACAGATATGATTTTATTGAAATATCTGTCATGTATAGTACATAAGAAATAGTGAATACTGACAGACAGAGCATGAAGTGATTGAGAATAGTATTAGACAATTACTGTGAGAGGGCTTTTACATTTTGCAAAATTGTGTTTATAAATAATTTAATTGCTGACATCAGTAAAATGTTATCTTTGCATTTAGTGTTGTCCTTTATGGGATTAGCACTATATTGTTTTCCACAAGCAAGGTGGACCATTGCAAGATCTTTCTGAAATCACCTCTTACTCCACTATAAACTTTTGGAATGCACAACTGTACTTTGTAGATGTCCCAGTGGATGGACAAAGTATCTTGCTGAGCATTTTGCTTTTTAAAGTATTGTTAGGTTGGTGAATTAATTGATTATTTGACTAAGTTGTTATTACAGTGCTTACAATTTAATGTTGCCACAATTGATCGAGTGTCTTTTTAAAACAAAAATCATAATTGTAAAATGTTACTTGTTGATGCTTCAGGTATTTGAAGAGCAAAAGATGAAATTACATTTTTATAGTGATGCCCAAAATTTCAGTTGTCGATGGCATTTTCTTCCCAAAGTGTTACAGATTCAAGATAAATTTATTTCTAATAATTGTTCAAACTAATCTCTGAAATGGAACCTGACAGCTGAAAATAATAGGTTTACAACCATCGAGGACTTAAGAAGCAAAATTTAAGGGGTGTTATTTATTATTGAAGGAATACCTTACATTTTATTTTTCCTCAGTTCCAAACATGGTAAATGTAGAATCTAAACAGTTGTGTGTACACACTTGAACTAAAAGATTTTTGCAGGATTCTCTTACTCACTGTAATGTTAATGTCATTTTTCCAGAGGTTTCAGCAGTTTTACATTTTGATGGTTGCCTTTGCATTTATGCCTCTGCTGATGACAAATGTGTTATTTGCCAGATCAGAAGTGTTTGTCCATGATAAGCAATGGGAAACGGTATTGATATTTATTGGAAAGAAACTGACTTAAGAGGAAGAAATTAAGTAATTGTTTTTCTTCAGGAATCATCTGAACTTGCAACGTCAGGTAATGGGGTGCCACCAATTTACAAATACCTGGCTCATGAATACTCATGCCTATGTACGTGATCCTATATAGGGGTGTAATTTTAAAGATCTGACATACAAACATTTCCTGTACTTATGAATGGCTACTTTTATATTATCCTGCATTGTGTTCTATCTTGTGTACAAATTGACTTGTGAATGGACAAGTTTACAGTGACATGAATATCAACTGGGTTAATTTGACTAAACTGTACATTATATACCAAACTCTATTTCAGAAGGCAGTGGAGGCATGGTCACTGAATATTTTTAAGGAAGAATGAATTGATTCTTGTTAGGTGAGGGAATCAAAAGTTATCAGGGTTAGATTGGAATGTGAAATCAGCAATGATCATCTTGAATTATTGAGTGAGCTTGTGGGGCAAAATGGTCTACTACTTTTTTTTGTGTGTTCATACCTTCAGAGCTGCTTCTGTGAATTAAAAGTTAACAGCAATTCAATCAAGGGGTTTGGATGATTTATGCAAAGAATAGATGCATGGTAATAAGCTATAGCTGGGACTTAACTGAGGATTTAACTAGTTTGAATATAGAATAATGGAGATAAAATGTCTAATAGAAGGTGTAGGAACATTACCCACACCCCCCTCCGCACTCTCCCAACGACTAGGGACAAAGACTCAGGAGGCAGGCAGGATTCAGGCAATGGCAGATTTTTATTCAAGCAACAACTGGTTAATGCAGGGAGAAGGCCATAGACCTTCCCCGAATCTGGCCTCGACGTGAGAACTGAATCATTCTCTTAATCTCTGGCTCACGTCAGCAGAGAGATCGATGACGCACTCTGATTTTTACAGTGAAATACAGCATTTTTATACATCATGTTACAATAATTACATACAGTGTGGATACTCTGTCCTTCCGCTTTATTCCATACACCCAATCCTGTGAAACACCTAATCAATGATGGGCATTCCTATGGATAGCCCCAAATTCACATGATCTCGTAGTGTTTAATGTTGTAATCTCCAGGCCTTGGGATCTTTCTATGCGTCCTATTAATTCACATTCCATGGTTACTGGCAATACTTCTTCCGGTCTGTCCCAGACTCACTTATCTCTCAGGACTGATTGATTGAATTCTGTTATTCCTTGTATTCCATGAGCTATCTCTATCAAATTCAGTTATTACTCTTATATAATTGGGACAGTGGAAAAAAAAATATAATAAATACAAAAGACAGTTGGTTTTAACTTACTGGTTTAAGATTTTTGGTATTTGTTTCCCATTATAAAATTAATTGTACTTTTTAACCATTAAGTTGCAAACAATATATTTCGTTCAGGACGTACCAGTTTAAGAGACAAGTGTTTTCCGAGACTAATTAACTTTCACATCTAGGTTTAAATGTTTTTTCCCAATGCTTCTATTATACTTTGGTTATACCTGTATATAGAATTACATTGAAATCTATCCCTATGATTATCAGAAGAATCTTTAACTAGAACCTATTTCTTAATATTGTGAATAACTTCAAAGAAACAACTGATTACTGCAAAATAACTATAGCTGTTGTTTTCATTGCTGCCTTAGTGAGTTAGGCTGACTGGTTCATGGACTGAGATTTACAGCCCTTGTTCTAACTTGCACTGTTCACCTAATAGGATGACATCCTTTCATTAAGGAGGCTGAAATCACACTTGCCATATTTTAATGAACTTGTCTGCATCCTTTGATATCCTCTTATCAAACTGTCTCGGATGGTTGCTTGTATGACCTCCCGTTCACCTTGAAGTAGCCCTATTGGAAGGTACCGTTATGTTTCACATAAATGCTAGAGCAGGCTACTTTAATTCTGTTTATCTCTTGTCAGCTATTTTGTGTCTTTCAAACATGGGCAGCTCTGACAGAGGGGATGAGGAATGGCAGGCTGGAATGTTTTTTAATATAGGTGTCAGTTGAACATTGGGATTATTTTTAGTGATGTGTGTGTGTTACAGATTGACTCAACATTTATTCCCTGTCCCTTGAGAAGGTGGTGAGCTAAAATTGAGTCACATTGGAAAATATTTGTAGAGAACTACTGTCGCCTTTTTCCTCACTTTGCATCTACGTAATCCAACAACGTCACGTTTGGTTGTTAGTGCAAGCGGTAGGATGAATCCATAGTAACAGCAGTGAATGCAAACGATCCATATTGGTAACGGTAACAAAGTAAACAAAGCGTTAACGCATGTTCCTGTTGACGTGATGTCGAATAATTTTACCTATTTAAAATGGACTAGCGTACTTCCATTTAACAACATGCTCTATGTAATTCAATACACAATAGCTCAAAAACAATTTGTCTTCACCCACTTCCAGCCCTGCCCGTGTGCTACATTGAGCTGTTTATGACCTTTTTCCCCACTACAGTGGTTCTCCTATGCTGTTAGCCTCTTATGCTTCTTCCCAACAACATCCAAATTTTCCTTGTTTTCGGTCGAAATGTTATTATTGCACCGAAGACGAGAAATCTCAATTTCACATTACAAAATCGTCTCTGGATCGTGGTGACTTGTCGAAAAATTTCGATTATACCTGAATGCAAGGGGTTGGAGGATAGCATGTGGGCTGAATGTGGCCACTTTTGTGTCCCTAAAACAGTTACTGATTATTATTTACAATGACTAGTGAACATTTGTTATCCACGGCTAATAAATAAGAACAACATCCACAGTTTTCGCGTTATCTTTCCAGCGAATTCCTACATAGGAATCCTAGTTGGAATTCGCAAATGACAGACCCGTCACTTCCTCTACCCCTATGGCATCGGGGCCAAATTTAGCTGCTCAGCTGCCTTCCTAGCTGAAATCTGATAAATCAGCACAGGTCAACAATTTTTAAAGCTTGGAATTTTATAACCATATACTGAGTAACTGGAGACAGTATTTTCAAGGTATTAAAGGTAATCTATAGGATCTTGTCTTCACCTGTAGAATAAGAATAATGAAGAATATTAATGGTGTACTGGCTCCACAAGGATCCGATACCCCAGTCTCGGAAGACCTGAGAATATTTCAGCCTGACTCCTAATTTAAATCCGCGAACAGTATTTAAAGATTCAATTAAATCGCGTTCCACTGGAGTAAAAGAAAATCTATTATACCAATAGTTTAAGGAAAGTGAACATTTGTTTGGAATAGCAATGTTGACACCTATCTGGTCTGGCATTTTCCTATTTTGGAAGTAATCTTTGAGGTATTTACAATCCGTTCTGATGCCGCAACACAGTGTGTCTTCTGGGTCCTAGTACCATGAAGTTATTAGTTGGCGTTTCCTGGGTTATCTTTCCGTAGACATCACCTCAATCTACATTGATATCGAAACCAAGTTGCATTTTAGTTACATGTAAGTGAAGATTTCATAATTTCTTGGTTTGTTTTTTTTAAAAGAAATTATTACTGTCAGATTCTAGAGATCTGTTATTATGCTGTCTGATGACTTTGGGCAATTGCTGCGCATAAATGTTCGGAAGCCGGGGATTCTCACAACCCCGGGTTCAAGACCATTTAATCATTGGGCCAACGTATCTTGAAAACAATACAATCAAAGCAATTTTGCTTGTTGCATATTTCCATAAACAATCGATTGTTTATGAATTTCCTCAATTACAGAACGAACTAATTTCTGTATATTCAGTTTGTAATACAACAGTTTTAATATCTATTTTACATAATCGAGGAAAATATCGCTTCTTGGCAATTCCTACGGAGGTCTGGGATTTCCATGCAGTTTTGATTCACATATCCATTCTCCAACGATCCACTACTGGAAGATTTGGGAGACGGACTCGACAGCAGACCATCTGCTGTTAATTTTTTTACCATGCTATTTATGCAAATGATCATCTGGCTGACATATTCAATATTTGGTAAACTTTAGCACTGCTGCCCAAATACTCTGCAATACTGTCCCAATTCACCCACGACTCCTGACCTCATTGACCTATATTGCTCTGGAGCCCTCCAGCCTATCATTGACTTTAAAATCCCTCCAAGACTTCCCCATTACACTTATGCTTGTTGCCTCTTCCAGACAATCACTTCTTTTTTCTGATTTTTGATCTTGTTCATCCCTTTACTTCACTGATTACCATGCTAGGTCCCATGCTCCAGAATTCAATCCCTAAATTCTCTTGATGTTTAAGGACCCTCTTATGATGTGCCTCTTAGGCTAAGTTTCCTCTTCATCTGAGCAGATCCTGTGTATGCATAGGGTTTGTCCAGAGACATGTGGACATATATGCTCAAGCCGCAGGACATGCCTGAACTCCAGATTCATCATCTACACTCACAAGGCAGTGCAAAACGTCACCCAGGCACAACACACTGCCATCCATGTTCTCAAGACCAATCGCAATATTGTGATCAAACCAATAGACAAAGGTTACAGAATAGAAGGGACTACTGCAGTGTACTGACAATTGAACAACCAGGAATACTACAGACAACTACTTGCCAATCTGACCAAAGATCACACCTGTGAATTCAGACTGATCCTTCAGAGTATCCTATGCACTTTCATCCCGCGTACTTCTCACGTAGGGGACTTCTACTGCTTTCTGAAGATACACAGAACCAACATACCTGGTTGTCCCATCATATCAGGCATTAGGACCCTGTGTGAGAACCTGTCTAGCTATGTCGAGAGCATCTTGAAACCCATTGTTCAAGGAACCCCCAGCTTTTGTCATGACACTATAGACTTCTTACAGAAACTCAGCACACGTGGACCAGTCAAACGAGGAACATTCCTCGTCACAATGACGTTTTGGCGCTCTACACCGGCATCCCTCATGATGATGGCATCGCTGCAACAGCCTCAGTACTCAATACCACCAACTGCCAATTTCCAGACACCATCCTACAACTCATCCACTTCATCCTCGACCACATTGTCTTCACCTTCAACAACCAGTTCTTCATCTAAACACACTGAATGGCCATGGGGACCAGATTTGCACCCCAATATGCCAACATGCGCAAGTTAAACAAGACTTCTTTGCTGCATAGGACCTCCGACCAATGCTCTCCACCAGATACATTGACATTTCCTTCCTTTGGACTCATGGTGAGGAATCACTGAAACAACTACATTGTGGGATGAAACTTGTTGACATCACTATCAGACTTGCCATGGACTACTCTTTAGAATCAGTCTCATTCTTGGACACGCATCTCCATCAGGGATGGACACATCAATACCTCCCTCTACTACAAGCCCATGGATAACCTCATGATGCTGCACTTCTCTAGCTTCCACCCATAACATGTTAAAAAAGCCATATACAGGATCTGTGCAGATGAGGAGGAACGCGACAGGCACCTGAAGGTGTTGAAGGACGCCCTCATAAGAACGGGATATGACGCTCAACTCATCAATCACCAGCTCCAACATGCCACAGCGAAAAACCGTAATGACCTCATCAGAAGACAGGCACTGAATATGAACAATAGGGTACCCTTCGTTGTCCAGTACTTCCCTGGAACAGATAAATTATAACATGTTCTTTGCAGCCTTCAACACATTATCGATGACGATGAGCACCTCGCCACGATCTTCCCTATGCCTCCACTCTCACTTTCAAATGACTGCCAAACCCAGCCTTCAGGACAACATCGATCACAACACTATACAACCCTGTCATGGTAACCACTGCAAGACATGTCAGATCATCGACATGGACACTACCATCACATGTGAGCACAACAGATACTCGCGTGACTCAGGCAACGTTGCTTCACTAATATGCTGCAGCCAAGGATGCCCCGGGACATGGTATATTGGTGAAGGCATGCAGATGCTATGACAACAGGTGAATGGACACCACACAACAATTGCCAGACAGAGGTGTTCCCTTCCCATGGGGGAACACGTCAGTGATCAAGGGCATTTGATCATAGAATCCCTACAGTGTGGAAGCAGGCCCTTCAGCCCAACAAGTCCATACTGACCCTTGGAGCATCCCAATCAGACCCATTTCCTCATAACACACCTAAGCTACGCATCCCTGAACACTACGGGCAATTTGGTGCGGCCAATCCACTTAACCTGCACATCTTTGGACTGTGGGAGGAAACCCACGCAGACTCAGGCAGAATGTGCAAACTCCACATAGACAGTCACCCGAGGGTGGAATTGAACCCGGGTCCCTGGTGTTGTGAGGCAGCAGTGCTAACAACTGAGCCACCGTGCCACCCCATTTTGCCTCAGAACTTCCAGTAAATGTCCTCCAAAGCAGACGTTGGGATACACAACAATGCAGAGTCGCCAAGCAGAGGCTGATAGCCAAGTTCGAGACCTATGAAGATGGCCTCAACCCTGATCTTGGGTTCACGTCGCACTACAGGTGACACCTGTACACTCAAACACACACACACACACACACACACTCTTAAATCTACGGGGTGAATTTGTATTTGCAGATGCATTCTATTTTGTTCAAAAAGCACACAATTTGTATACACCGTCAATAAGGCATTTTATAAATTCCTGCTCTGGAAATAAAACCAGTCTGACTCCAGGTTAAAACACAGATTCTAAACAAGGCCTTACACCTAAAATGCATTATCTGACCTGAGATGTCACCTCTTGTATAAATTGATAAAACCTTTAGTTATCTCGGGGCAGTGACTTGAAAGAAATTCTGGGATTTGCATTTTAATGAATCGAAACCAGCATCTCCTTCAGAACTGATTAAAGATCTAACATGAGGGTGTCAGCTAGCCATTTTAGGTTTATTTAGTACATTCTCATCAGTTGTATGATCTTTTGATCTTTCACTTTATAAATTCTGTGTCCTGGTACCTCCTCTCTCACTACAGCTGAGGAAGGAGCAACCTTCCAACAGCTAGTTTTTTCAAATAAACCTTTTGGACTATAACCTGGTGTCGTGTGATTTTTGACCTGTTCCTTGTAGATTGTGTAACTTCCATTTTCTGGTCAGAAGTATTGGCTAATAGAACCACAGTAAAACTGCAAAAGCTCAGCAACCGAAAGAAATAGCTGATACTGCTCCACCATATAACATTATGTCTGATCGTTGACCTCAACTCCCACAGGGTACATGACGCATTGGCGTCACATTTCATAAATTTGCTGTTGGTCATAAAATGTTTGTGCATTACTCTGTATATCTTATTGCAAACGATCCATGTAGGAAGTAACGACTGACCACAACAGGCAGAGCATCATTGAATTAAAGCAGTAAAGCCGCAAATACAAAAGAGTTGTAATATCCGATGAGAAAATACCAAACCCATCTGACTCTCCTAAAAATTGAGAAGTTACTTTGCTGAATAGGATTGAGAACACAAACTCTGCCAAGTCGCACCCATGCCTCACTAAACTGCCACAAAATGGTGCCCTTCCCTCCTTTACACATTGGCTAAAAGAAATATGAACATCTATCCGCTTGCAGAAGGTGGGGGCTGCATTCTTTGGTCGTCTTCCATCCGTTATCCTTTCATAAAATGAAAGTCTTAGCGATTGATAATCTAATGAAAACTGCAAGTCAGAGATTTCAGCTGCCTGTCGTTAAATAATTATATGACCAAACATGACCATAATGCGTCCAAGATTAAGAAATAGATTCTGCCCTGTATAGATACACATGAGACGTGAAATTCTAAGACAGGTGACGTGCCTTCCAAGAAGCTGGTAAAGCCTATCCAAGAATAAAAATTACATTTAATGCATCAGAGGAGAATCTATCAGTGTCTCTATGTCCGTGTGACTGAAATAAAAACATACTCCACAGGTCTGGTAACATCTTTGGAGGAAACAAACAGAATGGTCTATGCTTTTTCTAACCAACTTGTTCAGAAATGTTATTTTTTAACCACCCCGGAACAGGTGAAACTTGAACCCGAGCCTGCTGACTCACAGTAACTGGGTGTAACTGCGTTACAAGACCCAACATCGAAGCCATGATACGAGTCTCGATGCTGTAATAAAATGCCGAGGCTACACCACGCCAAGTAAATGCAATGTGGGTTCTCTCTGCCGACATGAAGTAACAGACTCTCCTGTGTTTGATAGTCCCCGGCCCACAATGAGGCAACCGGAACATCGTTTGAACAACCTTTCCGGACTTTCAAGTTCGAACATTCCTACGGCAATAAGGTGGAGTTTTTCGAAGTTCATACTGTGACAAAAAAAACAGTTGTGAAAGCAAATAAACAAACAGCAGTGGGTGGAGGTCGCAAGGTTGGTGTTTATCTACGCTATTTCTTCCTCTTTTCTCTTCACATTGAAGGTGTTCCTGGGAGGAGGCGGGGTGAGAGTGCTGGGCTCACTGGGACGTGTTTCTTTCCCTTGGGTGCGAGTTTTGCCTGAGTGGGCTTTGAAGTGACTCTCCATGGGGTGGGGAAAGGGATACTGGCTGAGAGCAAGCTCAGGCACCGGGTAAGTGGCAGAACGCGAGACTTACTTTCCAAATAGAGAGGGAGCTCGATTCAGAGCTGTTAGTCCGAAGCTATGCTGTAAATGCAGCCTTTTCCCGGATTGGTTCGGATCATGTTCAAGCGCCTATGGGGGTTGGTGTCTTAGGAAAATTACTTGTTCTGGTCACCCTCTGATTGGCGCCTTCAATATATATTCATTATGTCAGTGTGCAACACTGTCAGCAGAGTCCTCGAACCAACAAGGTGTATAAATATTCCAGTATGAAAATGCTCCCAGTGCTATTGCTTGGTGCTTAACTCGGAAGGTTTTTTTTTAAAAAAATACGCTTAGGACGTGGCTGTCGCTGGCTGGTCGGAATTTGCCTGCCTCTAGTCGCACTTGAGAAAGTGGCGGTGAGTTGCCTTCTTGAACTGCTGCAGTCCCTATGCAATAGGTTGGCCTTCAGGGAGGGAATTCCAGGATTTTACCAGCAACACTAAACGAGCGACGACATACTTCCACGTCCGGCTGGTGAGTGACTTGGAAAGGAACTTGGAAGGTGGTGGTGTTGTTCCCTGCTACCTCTGTCTTTCTAGATGGAAGTGGTCGTGGGTTTGGAAGGTGCTTTAAAAGGATATTTGGTGAATTTCTGCAGTGCATCTTGTGGATAGCACACATTGCTGCTCCTGAGCGTGGGTCGTGGAGGGAGTGGATGCTTGTGGATGTGGCGCTCATCAGCGCTGCTTTGTCCTGAGTGGTGTCAAGCTTCTTGAGTGTTATTGGACCTACACCCATCCAGGCAAGTAGTTCGCATCACATATTCCATCACATTTCTGATTTATATTTGTAGATAAGCTTTGGGGAGGCAGGAGGTGAGTTACTGGCTGCAGTATTCCTAGTCTCTGACCTGCTCTCAACCACTGTCTTTATGCAGCAAGACCAGTTGAGTTTCTAGTCAATGGTGTTGTGGGTAAATCACTACAGTTACCTTTAATTTGTCTACTTATTAAAGAATCTCTCATAAAATCAAGTACTAAAACAATGATTTAAATTTTATTGCATGTAGCAACCAAAATAAGACCCTTCAAGCTAAGCCTGACAATGCAACTTGACTATTGAAAGCAAGGTGTAGAGCTGGATGAACACAGCAGGCCAAGCAGCATCATAGGAGCAGGAAGGCTGACATTTTGGGCCTAAACCGTTCATCAGAAATGGGGGAGGGGAAGGGGGTTCTGAAATAAATAGGGAGAGAGAGGGGGAGGGGGAGGTGGATAGAAGATCTGAACCCCCCCTTCCCCCTCCCCCATTTCTGATGAAGGGTCTAGGCCCGAAACGTCAGCCTTCCTGCTCCTATGATCTGCTTGGCCTGCTGTGTTCATCCAGCTCTACACTTTGTTATCTCAGATTCTCCAGCATCTGCAGTTCCTACTGTCTCTGCAACTTGACTATTACCTGATTAATGGTGGAATTTAGCCATGATCCCAACCAACACTGTGTCTGTGGAGGTGTTCAGGGTTTGATCCTTGTGCAGTGTTGTTCTTCAAAGTTCTGCTCATGAAGGATTCTGCAGTTGGATTCTTATACAGTTTTTTTTGCCCTTCAGGTCTATGGGGTGACATTACTGATAATCTTTTAGATTCTTTCATCCAAAACATTGACTACTTCTCTGAAAACATCAAGTCTGCAGTTTGCCTTCTTATCAGAAGTAGTTTCCCTGTTTTTTTGTTACATTTAGCATTGACTGTCTGTTTGAAGACACAGCTTTCCTTTGATTAATTCCTTAAATTCTTCTGCAGGGCAGTCATTTGACCTTGTGGCACAAATCAGCCAGTTGTCAAGCAGGTGTCAAAACAGTTTTGTTCATGTAGCTTTGACTCCTTCATCTCCCAGGCATGGCTAATTGCTTTCAGTTCCTCTAAAAGTTTGTCCTTGTCCTTTAATAGTTTATGCCAGACAGAGTTATTGCTGATTCCTTTGTGTGTAACAGTTTATCTTTGATTCTTTCAATCCATGAACAATTATGAAAAGTCTGAACTGTACTGTCATAGACCCTTCTCTTTATTAGTTATTTTTTAATATGATGAACAAACACTAGTACAATTGATCATTTTCCACCTGATCGGTTTGTATCCAAGGTGGGTTTCTACACCATGTGCAATTTAAAAATGCACCATTTCATTATGCAGTATAGATATATGCAAATCAATAATCAATATTTGAAGTACAGAATAAGGATTAATAAATAAATCAGAAACATGCCAATAAAGACATTAAGTATTACTGTGAAATACCACAATGCAATACCCATTGTAGTTTTAAGATTCTTACTTCTTAATGGAACTAATTTCCTTTTCAACTGCTGTATTTGTTGCTGATGCTAATGGCAAAAAGCGATAGTAATGGAAACAAGATAGACCCAAGTACACAGAGTCATAGTAACAAGGTGTGAAATAATATGAACCCATGTGGCCGTATGTGTTACTTCCCCCAATTCCAGATGTCATCCTGCCAAGAATGTTCCTTAATGTTTTTAACAGCTGCCTTGATTCTCTGACTATTCTGCTAAAAGGGATTTTGAGAAAGGTATACCAGTTACAGTTAAGTGTAACTCGTGTACCTTTCTCAAAATCCCTTTTATTTCTTCCAAATGTTCTCTTTGCAGGCCAATATGGACCTTATAGTTTTGCCAATAAGGTGTAACCATTTCTCTAGCTGAGCCAGTCACGTCAAAAGTCATAGATTTTCTCCTCCTGATGTTAATCGATTCAGTTGTTCCTACGTGCATGGGCATTTTGGGTAAATGCAAAATGTTGAATCAGTGATGGGACAAGGCAAGTTATGATAATGATATTCTTTTACGGTAATCTCATCTTCCCGCATACCCAACTCTGATTTATGTTCTCTCAAATGGTACTTGAAATTTCAAGAGTACATAAACATAGAACTGTACAGCACAGGAGCAGGCCTTTTGGCTCACAATGTTGTGCTGAACATGATGCCAACTTAAACTAATCCCTTCTGCCTGCCTTTGGTTCATATCCCTCTAGTCCTTGTATATTCATGTGCTTATCTAAAAGTCCCTTAAATTCCCCTATTGTATCTGCCTCCACTACCACCCCTGGCAGTGTGTTCCAGACTCCTACCACTCTGTTTTTTTAAAAAAAAAACATGCCCCTCATGACTCCTTTGAACTTCTCCCCCCTCTCGCCTTAAATGCATGCCCCGTAGCATTAGACTTTTCTACTCTGGGAAAAAGATTCAACCCTATCTATGCATCTTATAATTTTATATAGACTTCTATGAAGCCCTCAGCCTCTGCTGCTCCAAAGAAAACAACCCAAGTTTTTCTAGCCTCTCCTTATAGGTGAAACCCTCTAATCCAGGCAGCATCCTGGTAAATCTCTTCTGCACTCTGTCCAAAGCCTCCACATCCTTCCTGTAATGTGGTGACTTGTATTGAAAGCAATACCCTAAGTGTGGTCTAACCAAAGTCTTAAAAAGCTGCAACATGACATCCTGACTCCTGTGCTCAGTTCCCAACCAGTTAAGGCAAGCATGCCGTTTGATTTCTTTACCACCTGATCAACTTGGATGGCCACTTAGGGGGAGCTATGGACTTGAACCCCAAGATCCCTGTATACATCAGTGCTGTCTCGGGTCCTGCCATTAACTTATACTTTTCCTTAACATTTGATCTCCCAAAGTGCAGCACCTCACACTTTGCCAGATCAAATTCCATCTGCCATTTCTCCTCCCATGTCTGCAACTGATCAATATCTCGCTGTTTCCTTTGACAACCTTCTATACTATCCACAACTCAACTGATCTTTGTATCGTCTGCACGTCTAACCCACCCATCTACATTTTCTTCCAAGTCATTAAGATATATCACAAATAGCAGAGGTTCCAGTACAGAGCCCTACGGAACACCACTAGTCATGGACTTCCGACCTGAAAAACACCCTTCTATCTTCTATGGGAATGTCAATTCTGAATCCATATGGCCAAGTCATCATGGATCCCATATATCTTAATCTTCTCGATGAGCCTACCATGAGGGACATTGTCGAAAGCTTTACTAAAGTTCATGTAAACAACATCCACTGCTCTATCTTCTTTGATCACCTTTGTCACCTCAAAAAAATTCAAACGAGTTAGTAAGACATGACCTGCCCTGCACAAAGCCATGCTGACTGTCCTACATAGGTCGTACTTTTCCAAATGTGCACAAATCCTTTCCCTAAGAATTCTCTCCAATAGCTTCCCAACCACTGACGTGAGACTCGCCGGTCTATAGTTTCCTGGATTATCCTTATTTCCCTTCTTGAACAGAGGAACAACATTAGTTGCTCACCAGTCTTCTGGGACCTCTCCAGTGGCTAGTGAGGATACAAAGATCTTGGTCAAGGCCTCAGCAATCTCCTGTCTTGCCTCTCTCAATAACCTGAGATAGATACCTTAGGATCCTGGGGACTTATCCAACTTAATGGTCTTCATGAGATCCAACACCACTTCTTCCTTGATCTCAAAATGCCCTAACATATTAGCATGCTCCACACAAAGCTCACTATCCTCCATTTTCTTTCTCCTGGGGGAATACTGAGGCAAAGTACTCATTTAGGATCTCATCCACATCTCCTCTCTGCTAGCATAAGTTTTCCTCCTTTATCCTTGAGTGGTCTTACCTTCTCCCTAGTTATCCTCTTAATTTTTAATGTATCTATAGAATGCCTTGAGATTCTCTTTAACCCTACTTGCCAAGGTCATTTCATGGTCCCTTCTTGCTCTCCTAATTCCCTGCTTGAGTTCTTTCCTGCTAAGTACAGTTAACTGTTTCATTACCACTGGACTCAAATTGCATGTGGCTTGTGTAAATGGCTGTGGGACAAACAATAGTTTTATCAGTCTGCTGGCATTCCTTAAATGCTGCCCCTTCAGCTCTTACTAGCCTCTGACCTGCTCTTGGGGTAACTGAGTTTATGTGGCAAGTCCAGCTGAGTTTCTGGTCAGTGGTAATCCCAGTGATGTTGATAGTGGGGGATTCAGTGATGGTAACACCATTGAATGTCAAGGAGCAGTGGTTAGATTGTTTCTTATTGGAAAAGGTCATTGCCTGCCATTTGTGTAGTTCGAATGTTACGAAGATTTTATGTAAGTTGTGACTAACATCTTCCACTGTCCTGCCACCTGCTGAAATTTGAAATTTCAGAAGAAGTGTATATTCTAGTTCGTACTTTTTACAGTTGGCAGATTTTTTTAAAAATGAGTTTGGTGGCTAAATTAGCTTCAGGCAAAACAATGCATTTTTATAATTATGCAAAAAATACAACATGGGCTGAAAATCAGTTGCAGAATTAATATGAAATTCTAGATGGAGTTTATTTCTAACTCGAATGATAGCTATGATATAAACATACATGAAAAACATTATCACCAGTCCTTTTAAATGAATTACCAATTTACATTGATCCCAAAAAGAATGTTTCCTGACACTTTAAAATGCCTTGATACTAAGTCCGAGTCTCAGCTTTGAATGTGCTTTATGATTGAGAATCAGTAGCCTTCAGGAGTAGGGAATTGTTCTCATGTAGCCCAAAGTAATAGTCCCATTACCTTGTAATTACATCCTCTGTTTTAGATATTCCAGCTAGAGAAATAGCCTTTCAGGTTTGTTTCAGTTAGATCACTTTTTTTGATTCAAATCCCCCAAGAGATTATCTTATTGAATCGGTCCTCCTAGGACAACCCTTTCATTTCCAGGAATCAACCTAGTGAGTTTTCATTGAATTCACCTCCAAG